AAAACTAAAAGCTTTCCCAATAAGATCAAGAACATGACAAGGATGTCCACTTCCACCACTTCTATTCAACATAGTATTGGAAGTTTCTAGCCACAGTGATCAGACAAGAAAAATAAATAAAAGGCATTTGAATTGGAAAGAAGGGAGCAAAACTGTCATGATTTTCGGAAGACATGGTAATGTACATAGAAAACCCTATAGACTCTACCAAAAACTACTCGACCTAATAAGTGAATTTGGCAAAACAGCAGCATACAAAGTCAATATTCAGGAACTGAAGGCATTTTATATACCAACAATGAAATATTAGAAAAAGAATTTAGGGGGAAGGGGAATCCCATTTGCTAGAGCAACAAGAAAAATAAAGTATCTAGGAATAAACCTAACTAGGGAGGTAAGATACTTGTACTCAGAAAACCACAGAACACTGAAGAAAGAAATTAAGAAAGACACAAATAATGGAGGCATAAACCATTTTCATACATTGGAAGAATTAACATAATCAAAATATCCATACTACCCAAAGTAACATATATTCAATGCAATTCCTATTAAAATACCAGTGCCATATTTCACATGTATAGAAGAAACATTTTGAAAATTTATATGGAACCATAAACAACTTCAAATAGCCACAGAAATTTTGAGAAAGAAGAACAAGGTAGGAGGGATCACAAAACCTGATATCAAACTATATTACAAGGCTGCTATAGTCAAAATGGTCTGGTACTGGCATAAGAACAGACACAGAAATCAATGGAACAGAATAGATGTGAGGGCAACTTCCTCTCGCGAGGTCCCCCCCCCATGCCACGGACACGTGTGAATGAATAAATATGGCGGAGACATGATGAGATATGTTTAGGGATGGAGGAGTGGGCTGTGGCCAGTTTCTCAGGGGAGACAAAGGCCAGCAGCGGCCAGTTTCTCTGAGGAGAAAAAGGCCCCAAGCGCCTTTCTCTATAGCCTTTTACTGGGTTGTAATACACAGGAATACAGGGCGGCAAGGATCAAACAGTAGATAACATTTCAAAGAGATCTGAGTCAGTGTCTGTCAGGAAGAGAGTTGCAGAAACTTTGGTAGACATACTCATGTCCTCTCAGACCCTTATCATATGAATGAAAGCACTCTTAGCAGAGCAGATTTCACAGGTTAATCAGCAAGTCTTTGTGATGCCAGATTTTTCCCCAGGATACCACTCTAGCAAGGCAAGGAGCTGCACCTCTCCCCACCAGGTAGTCAGGCTTAAGGGGATTAGAGCCAGGAAGCGCTTTTCCCAGAGAAATGGGGACTCGGGCTTTGTCAAAGCTGGGAGGTGAGAGTTCATTGCTCCTTATTACAGCCCCGCCCCCCCAGTCCTTCCATGAAGGCCTCCCAAGTGATTGAGTCTGGCTTAGGTTGCCCCCTGCTGTGAGGGGTCTTACCCGTCATTGACTTCCGACCAAGCTCTAGGGGCAGGGAGGGGAACTGAGACAGTGTTTGCTACCAGAGACAGGCTTTGTCTCCTGCAGCTGGCATTGCAAAGGTCGTCTCTCGCCCTTAGCCACAAGGGGTAGAGATACAATACCTAAAACTACGCAGAGCGGTCTACTACAAATAGAGAGCACAGAAATAAACCCATTTCTCTAGCATCAATTAATATTTGATAAAGCAGACTGCATAAAATGAATGGTGTTGGGAGATCTGGACAGTTACATACAAAAAAATGAAACTCAGCCACCAACTTACACCACACATGAAAATAAACCCAAGATGGATAAAAGACTTAAATCATGACACCATAAAAGTCCTACAGGAGAACACAGATAGGAAAATTTCAGATATTCTACACAGCAATATTTTCACTGATATGTCTACTAGAGCGAGGGAAATAAAGGAAAGGGTAAAGAAATGGGACTACATTAAATTAAAAAGCTTCTACACAGCTAAAGAAAACATCAGCAAAATGAAAAGGGAACCAACTGTATGGGAAAATGTATTTGCCAATGATATCTTGGACAAGAATTTGATCTCCAAAATATATAAAGAACTCACATGGCTCAGATTGGACTGGAAGACAAACAATCCAATTCGAAAATGGGCAAGGACCTGAACAGACACTTCTCTAAGGAAATACAGAGGGCCCGGTGACATATGAAAGGATGCTCAGCATCATTTGCCATCTGAGAGATGCAGATTAAAAAAACCACAATGAGATACCACTTCACAACAGTCAGAATGGCCATCATAAACAAATCAATAAACAAGAAGTGCTGGCAAGGATGTGGAGAAGAAGGAACGCTAGTACACTGTTGGTGGGAATGCAGACTGGTGCAACCACTGTGGAAAACAGTATGGAATTTCCTCAAAAAAACTAAAAATGGAACTGCCTTTTGACCCAGCAATTTCACTGCTGAGATTATACCCTAAAAATCCTGAAACACCAACTCAGAAGAACCTATGCACCCCAATGTTCATAGCAGCACAATTTACAATACCCAAGTGTTGGAAGCAACCTAAGTGCCCATCAGTAAATGAGTGGATCAAAAAACTGTGGCACACTTATACAACAGAATACTACACAGCAGAAAGAAGGAGCTCCTACTGTTTGTGACAGCATGGATGGAACTGGAGAGCACGATGCTAAAAGAAATATGCCAGGTGGTGAAAGACAAACACCATATGATCTCACCTAAAAGTGGAACATAATCAATAAAACAAACAAGGGAGCAAAATAGATCCAGAGACACGGAAATAAAGAACAAACTGATAGGGACCAGACGGATGGGGGAAGGGGATAACCGGGGAAAGAAGGGGAAGGGTCAAGTCAAGGGTCATGTGTTAAGGACCCATGGACGAAGAGAAGGGTGCGGGGGGCAATAGTGCAGGAGAGAATAATGGGGGAAAATGGGAACAACTGCAACTGAACAATAAAAAATTTTAAGAAAATAAAAGTGACTAAGCAATTAAATAAATAAATATCTACTGCGGACAAGAGCAGTAGAGCCTTACCAATAACATAGTCAATTAACTGACCTTTTAAGTGTTATATCTATTATATATGTACTGTATTACCATAATAATTTAAACTGAAGCAAAGAAAATACTTTTTAAATTATAAGGAAAAAAATATATACTCACTTTATGTACTACAAAATTTGCTTATACCTGGACCTGAGTTGTTCAAACCCAATTGTTCAAGGGTTAACTATGTAAACATCAGACTTACTAACATACTTTGCTCATAAAACCCTGGGCCTGCAGGTGTCCCTGACCCAACACCAGTGATCAGGTGTTCCAGAGTGAGCAAAGCTCCTGAGACCTACTTTCCCCAAACCTTTTCTTCTTTGTCTCCATACTATTGGTACCAAATAACAATCTCCACTGTCTTCATTCCTGCATGCTCAGTTTGTCTCCTAGGTCCTGGCACATAGCAGGTGCTCTGTAGTTTGTTAAATTGAGTTGGTCTGTGTGTGCACCTGGAGCCGACAGCAACCTCAGAGAAGTGCCTGACACTGTGTCTCCAGCTTGGGCTCCAGCAGAAACTCTGCAGGGATGTTAAAGCCCTGGCCTTGCTGCTTCTTTCATGGTCCCCACACATACCTCTAAGCCTTTCAGATAGAGCTGTTAGGAAAGAATTGAAGTCTTCATGAACCCTTTCTTGAGATAACTATTGAAGGTGATATAAAGGCCTATGAGTGAGAGCAACCTGAAACAGAAGTAACATATAAAACCAAGGACACAACAAGAAAAAGAAAAATAGAGCCATATAGAGATAAACAGGAGACAAAGGCAGCAAAAAAAAAAAAAAAACCCACAGTCAGAGACAGGCAGTTGCAGAAACAGGCAGACAGAGCACAGAGAGAACCCCATCCAGTGGAGAAAACCGTGTGGACAGAGAGCCATCACCTTGACAGTGACAGAAGAGGCTTCTTGGTCATGTGTCCTCCATGACCAGTGAAAGCAGCAGTTTGGCTCCTGCTGTCTGCCAGAGGGCTGGTCCTATGCCCCCACTGGTCAGCCTCAGCCAGTGCCCCAGCATCCCCTGGAACACATATTTCCTTTTCTAAAAAATGTGAGGTTATTTTCAGAGCAGTTCCCACCCCAACAAAATCATCCAATGGAGAAGTCAAAGGGAGGAACTCTGTGGTGAAGCAGAATGGTACACATTGGGGAGGAGCCTAGAGTTATGTTCCCTGGTCTGTGTCTGCTGGGTATGTGACCATGACAGTGTACATGCCCTTGCTGACTCTCAGATTTTCCTCTGTAATGTGGCAAATAAGGTCCCCTCCGCCTATAAAATCTGGACTTCTTTGAGCTTTGTAGAGATAATGATGGAGTGAGAGAAACCAAAGTGGGTCGGCACAATGTTGGGAGCTTCAGGGAAGAACTGAACACCAAGTTATAGGGGTATGTGTCTTCCAAGGAAGAGTTTACTAATAATTGATACCATTATATCAAACAGGACATATCAATTATACTTTCACTGAATCAAACCAAGCCTACAAACTATCCCTACACAAACCTCAAAATGTAAGTTCAGCAGGCACTGGGATTGTTTTTTGTGAAGTTCACTTCTGATTCCCCAGTGCCCACTGTAGTACCTGGCACAAAGTAGACATTCAATAGGTATATGTTAAATGGACTTATGTGGTACTTGGAGAAAAAAGACATTCAAACCAGGATAATTACAGTAGTGTCTTTTCAAGCTTTTCAGCTTTAGAATTTCCCCAGAAACCATACCTCATGTTCCCTACCAGGAGATCAGAATGGATGACAGATAGAAAGACACAGAATGAAAGAACAAAGAGACAGGAAGGACCAGAGAGAGACAGGAGCTGATTCTCCCCCATCAGTTGAACCTGGCCACATGCTTCTCTCATCACGCAGCTGCTAGAAGCCCCAGGATCCCTGTCTCCATGATCCCCTGACTCTCTGAGAAACTGGCTGTTGGCTAAACAAGAGCACTTGGACCTAAAAGGGAAAGGAATGAAAAGAAAAGGATTCAGTCAGCCTTTACCTTCCTCCTCCTCTCGTCCAGTGGAAACTCAGCTCAGAGCTGCCTTGAAGCAGGTGGTGCTCTTTGGAACTCCTGACTCTGAAATGAATTTCCAGTCCTCTGGCAGGGAGAGCCCTGGAGAAGTTGCTGCCTTATCTGGTGTCATCAAAAGCATGAGAAGCCATATTATATCCTCTGCAAGGACTGTGTATGACCATAACTCAGTGATAAGGAGCACAGTGCTCTCACGAAAAGGGTTCCTACCTCCTGCCCTGCTCAGCCCTCCCCAGCTTGACTCTTCTTTCTCTCTCTGACTGTTCTTCCCTCCATCCAGCCAGCTCAGGCTCACCTTGATGCACTTGCTCCAGCCCCCATGGCTGGGCCACAAGGTGCCAGCTGTCATTCTGATCACATAGCCATAGTCTTCCAGGCTGACCAAGGGCACAAAAAAATTGTAAAACAACTTGCCAAAGGTGTGTTCACAGAAAGGATCCTATAACCCAGTGACTTTTCTGTCCCCACCCTCTACCCCAGCATATGCTGCTTCCACTTTCACAGGCTCCTCAGTGATCCTCTATGTCACAGTGACCTGCTCCCCCATTGCTTCATCACACTGCTTCCCAAAGTGTATGGGAAGTGAGAACTAATCTAAGGCAACTATGATGCATTCCATTTCCTTCAAGGGCTGAACTGAGCTTCCTGCATGTTGGGCAAATTTAAGGTGGACTGTACCCTGTCAAGTATTCTTTGTTCATTTTGTTTTACTCTTCTATTGACAGAGATTTCTCACAGATAAGGTATAAAAGTCCTCTGCCCAAATGACTTCCCAACCCTCATCTGTCCATGTCATCTACTCAAGCATTAATTTTCTCATACTTGCAGACACAAATGCATGCACTTAAAAAAATTATTGATCATTGGCCCAGGCACTGGGATGCAAAGCCATGTTCATTATTCTCAAATTAACTACAAAGCAAAGGGAGAGAATTATGTCCTAAGATGCTTAAAGTACTATGTAACAAATGCTTTCACATGCCTCTGCTTGTGGCTGTATGAGCCAAGGAGAGGTCCAAACTAATTTTAACAGATATGAAACATTAATTCAAATAAATAAATCTGCAGAAAAGGGTGGCTTCATAGGAATATACCATAGTCAATAATATTCTAAAAACTATGTATGATGTCAGTGTGTACTTGTATAAACGGAATGATCACTCAGTAAGGTATATAATCTAATCACTAGTGTGTACATCCAAAACTAATATAATATTGAATTTCAAATATAATTTAAAATAAATAAGAATTTATTTTGAAAAAATATAAATAAATAAACAGAAGAGGCTAGCTTCAAGCATACTGAGATCCAGAGATCAAATGACGTCATTATGATACACCTTTTCTCTTGGGTTCATTGAGTCTGCTGGGCTTCTAGCTGCTGCAGATGGCCACATGGAGTGGAATGAGAAGAGGCCCAGATGCAGAGGTCTCTCAAAAATGGATTTGTGAAAGTTCATGTAGTAAAATCAGCTACACACACAGACATGTAAATGCTCATTCATACACACTTCACACTCACTCCACAAACAAACCAGTTCTTTGTGGGGACTTTCTAAATGACACTACCCTGCATTCTTGCCTCTAATGGAAAGAATTCATAACACAAGTCTGTGGGCCATGGGGTGAGACTTAGACTGAGAAGTGTATCATAGTGAGGAAAATGGGAGGCTCTGAAACCATTAAAGACCTGATCAGTGATAGTCATCCAGTGATAGTCACTATTCCAGGATGACTATCACTGGAATAGTGTTTAGCCTCAGAGAGAGCCTTAACTGAGGTCTCCATTCTCTTGGGTACAAAACAGCTCCAAGGAGAGTGGTGGGGTAATAAGAAAGACAAGCATTCCCAGGCACAAGTGATTTCTTAAATTTAGTTTCATCACAAATAAAAATGCACCTCAGGTTCTGGTTGCTTAGAGCATCACCCCTATGTGTCAACACTGTGTGTTCAAACCCTGGTCACGGTACATGCATGAATCAAGCAATGAATGCATAAATTAGTGAAAAAAAATCTGTATATCTCTTTTCTCACACTCTCTCTCTCAAGTCAATAAACAATAATAATTTTAAAAAACAGATTTCATTTTGCAAGTGAGAAACTTAAGCCAAAAAGTTCCACAATTAACAATTATATAATTAAAATATACTACTTATTATGAAACACCATAAATAGTTGGAATATTTTTGCATGTATCAAAAATTCATGCAATTATTTTTATGTAGATGTGTAACTAGATCTTTATATTTTCATCTGTATTATCCACTCAGCAGTCTCTGGGACAATGCTGAAACACAAAGATGATCAAGATTCTACCTTATTAAATTCCTTACATGGATTCCCTTTGCTCTTACAAGGAGATTCATATTTCTTACAATGGCTACAAGCCCTGCATGATCTGACAGGGATAGAAGACAGAGTTTTAGAATAAGCCAAAGGTGAAAAGTCTAACAGGAGTGCTCCGTTAGAAGTTAGGACCTAAAAAGACTATAAACCTTTAGTGAATGTATCACTATTTAGCAAAAACCTCCAAGAAGTTACTATGGTTGAAGTTACTATGGTCAAGCTTGGCTATGGTTGAAGAAAAATTATCTCTCGAGAATCTGTAGCCATAAATCAGTATCACACTATGTCCAATTTCATGAAACCTGTGGTTTCCCTGTAACTAAAAATGACAGGTGTGTTTTCTGGATACAGCCTGGTAGGTGAAAGCCATGCTGGGAAGACCATTCAGCCATTTGGCAAGAGGAAACACAAGTCTTGTTGGGAGGAACTCAGCTCTAATTCTGGCCTCAGAGAATCCCCACATCTGAAGTCCCAAGGAAAGTAAACAGTTCATGATCAAAAATGACAAACCCACAAAGAAACAAGGCACCAGAACAAAGTGATTAAAAAAAAACCCAAGGTCATAAAATCAAACCTATGTAGATGTCAGCATTGGAATAGTCAGATAGAGAAATATAATATTGCCTTGCTTAATATAGTTAAAGACATAAAAAAGAGAATTGATCATGTGAGCCAGCATCAAGACACTAAAACATGACCAAACAAACTTAAACACAAAATCTCAAGTAGAATTTAGAGATTAATAGTATAAAAATTGAATTAAAAATTCAATATATAAATTAAACAGAAGATTAGACACAGTGAAAAAGAGACTACTAACATAGAAGATATGTCAGTAGAAATTACCCAGAAAGCTGACAAGGACACAAAAATATGGAAAATAAGAAAGAGAATTTAGAAAAAGAAACTGCACCATATGTTAAATAAGCCTCCAGAAAGAATAAACAATAAAAATCATCATAAGAGTAAACTAGTAGACAGTACTTACTATGTGTTCCTGTTCTAAACTACTATAAAATCAACTCATTGGTCTTTACAACAAACCTGTAAAGTAGGTCATCCCATCATCCCCATTTTAAATATGAGGAAACTAAAACAGAGGAGTTACCATGCTTGACCAAGACCACATGGAAATGCCAAGAAGCCTGTCTCCCGAGTTTGTGTTCTCAACCACTGTGCAATATTTGGAGAAGTAATAGCAGACACATTTGAAGAGTATTAAGCAACAGTAAATCTGAAATCCAGGAAACTCCACAAACCCGAAATGTGATATGAAAAAATGAGTCACTAAACACAAAATGGTGAGAGTGCACTGCACCAGAGGAAAAGGAAAGCTCTGGGAAAGAGCGAAGACAAATCACGGTAAGTAGTGGAAACTAGACTAATGGCCACTCTCACAACAGTAACACTGGCAGCAAAGACAGTGGGTCCTCAATGTGCTGGAAGAAGGAAGCTGTCCCCCTTCAAAGCTACAACTTAAAAGAACATCTTTAGAAATGAATGTGGAACTATGACATTTTCAATAGGGAAAAACTGAGCATTTACCATTTATAGAGTATCAATTTAAAAAGAACTTCTAAAGAATATGTTTTAAGAAATGGAGGGTATGTGATATTAAACGGGAAGGTGAGTAAAATCACTGGTGATTATGGGAATGCATTTGAACAAATGCTGGCTATTTAAAACAAAAATGTGTTTAATTTCTTGGGGTGGAACAGAAAGTCTAAGAACACACTAGGTTAAGAAGAAGGAAATAGAAGCTAAAGCTTTCTGAGGTCTTGATGTTGTTCATGAGGAGGGGAAGTTGTACAGGCTGTTCACCGCACCAAACAAATGTGAAGGAGAGGAAAGGAAGGGAAACACATTGGTTGATCCTCGTGTCCAGGTGCAGGGCAGTGACTACTGGAAAGGAAGCGGCACGTTTTTCTTCACAAAAGCAAGACCAGGGCAGCATCAGCTCACAAAGGGCATGTTCTTCTCTGAAGCTGCATAAGCGTGTGAGAAGTAAACTCCTTTACAGGTTAACAACACTAATTATGCTTAGATTTTAGAAGTTTGTGTGTTAAATATCTATGGCAATGCCTGACAAACAGACATAGAGTGTAAAACTTCCTGAAAATTTGAGGAGAAAAAAACATACCCTGTAAACCCACTGAGGTTCTGGACGGTACCAAAGAACTTCCTACTTCGCTCTGACTTTTTTGATCAAATCTTCTAAAACTGAGAAGATTAAAGCACTGTTTCTGGTGAGATGAAGATTTTAGGCCACTTCCACCAAGATGGAGGCATAGGTGGATGTGCCGTGCCTTCTTCCACAACCAAGATCAGAGAAAACTAAATATTAGCAACAGAAAACACAGCCAGAACACGGAAAATTGAACTTTTCGGAAGTCCGTTAACAACAAATTCTTCAGCCTGACCGGTAAGGGGCAAAACCAGCGGCTGGCGGAGCGGGGTTGCACAGGAGGACTCGGCCAGACACACTCAGGCCCGCGGAATCCAGGCACAGGGTCAGACCTAGTGAGCGACCCAGCGAGCAACCAGGCGAGCGACCGTGGGGGAGACAGCCGGGCCGGGGCTGCGTGTTGACTGAGGTTGCGCATTGGTGCGAGGGTGGACAGGCGAGGGAGTGGGCGGTTGGACCGGGCCGGCAGGTCCCCACGGCAAGCGGCAGTGGAGGGCACCGCCATTTCCCTGCTCTGACCCCACCTCCACATACAGCGTCATAACCCAGCGACTCTGAGTGGCCCGGCCCAGGTGAACCACCTAAGGCACTGCTCCTCCGCACCCAGCTGTGAGAAGCGGCAGAGGGGGTCGCCATTTCCCCGCTCTGGCCACGCCCCCACATACAGCGTCACAACCCAGCGACCTGGGAATCCAAGCCGCCGCTTCTCACACTTAAAGGGCCCGAACAAACCAAGAATGGCGCAGGAGGATCTCAGAGCCCCAGAAATAAATCTAAGCAATGAAGAAATAGCAAAACTCACAGACGCACAGTTTAAAAAATTGGTGATCAGGATCCTCACAGAACTGGTTGATTATACGGACAAATTAGACAAATATGTGAAGGCGAAACTAATTGAAATGAA